ATTGTACCCAATATCTTTTGTTTTCTGACATTGGTCCAACCATCAAAAATAACAGACACACCAAGTTCATCTTTTTTTTTAATTTATTTGCTTCTTCATTCAAAATTCTACCACCTAATTTTCTATGATCTGGTAGTTGTATTGTTGGGTTTAACCAAGAAAAGAGTTCTTTTGTTTCTGGATTATTATCCATTGAAAAGAAAATCCATTGGAGACTGTCATGTGAATTAATAATTGTTCAAATTTTTTCATGTCATTGCCTTTAATAGAATGAGAAAGATATGATTGAATATTTTTTACATTTGACTTTCTATTTGTATTAATATCTATTAATGATATTTAAATAAAGTTATTATTTTATCTTATTCTTTTTTAATACCCAAGAGTCTTTTTTTATTTGGAGTAGAAGGATTTTGTAAATTATTTATTTCGTTAGATGATGTATTAATAAAAACTTCATCATTATCATAAAGTTCATTTTCAATTATAGTTTCTGTATCATTATCAGCGACCCAATTTAACCATTCTTCCTCATTTGAAAAATTATTTTGAAAAAATTTACAATTCAAGTTATTTTCAATTCATTGATATTTATATTAGAGCTTTTACAAGCAATGCAAATACCCAAGTGATTATAACTATAGATGGGCGTCTAAATTGTTTTCAGGCTTGTCAAAATGTCTAAAGTCTAAATATAGGTTTAGTCATGATTGTCAAAATATTAAGACATGGTCTAAATGGCAAAATTATTTAGACATGTCAAAACATTAAGACATGGCAAAATTATTTAGACATGTCAAAACATTAAGACATGGCAAAATTATTTAGACATGTCAAAACATTAAGACATGGCAAAATTATTTAGACATGGCAAAACATTAAGACATGGCAAAATTGTTTAGACATGGCAAAACTGTTTAGACATGGCAAAACATTAAGACATGGCAAAACTATTTAGACATGTCAAAATATTAAGATGTTGCAAAATTTCATTTATTTATTAACAAATACTAATATCAAATATCAAGTATGCTTGATGGATCAAAATCTAAATCATCTTCTTCAATTATTTCCTGTTCATCAATAAATTGGTTTACACTACTATTAATCTCAGAATTAAATAAATTTATATCAATATTAATATAGTCTTCAATTAATAATCTTGTTTGGTTGTTAATTGCAGCATCTTCATTACTTTCAACATCATCAACTTCGATTTCTTCATTATTTTCATCATTTCCAATCTCAATTTCTTCATTATCTTCATTTTCTAATAATTTTTCAGCTTCACTAATCTTAGAATATATTTCTTCGTCTAAAATATTCATCCCAAAATACTCAAACCCTTTTTTTTCATTTGAAATATAATAATTATGGATGATTGCCATATGTTTAACTCTATTGATATCTAGATTATTTCTTCGTTGATTGTAGAACCATGATAAAATTGAAAAAACACGCTCGCACCCTGCAGAATGAGGTGTAATTGCATATAATTTTAATGCTACTTCTTGTAAATAACCACCTGATTTTGATAGTAAATTCCACCATGTATATGATGAAATTGCATTATCATATGGAAGGTCATAGGGTGGTTTTTTTTCACGATATAAATGTATTTGACTTACAAGCCTTGTTGAAGTTTGTTTTCCATGACCCATATCTGCCCACAATTCAATTGCAAACAACATCAATTCACGTATTTTATCATGATTTAAATATTTATCTAAAAGATTAAATATTATTAGCCAATTTTTATTTTATTTTTATTAATAAGAATAAAAGGAAAATAAATTTACCCCTATATTTTGGATGTAAAAAATATCCCAATATAAAAAGTTTAGAATTAAATTGTCCCCATCTCTTATTAAAAATGTCAATGCAATAATTTTTAAAATTTGGATCTACTGTAGCTGATAAATGTTTAATTTGTGATGCTAAACTTGCTATTTGAATAAAGCAGTCAGCAATTGTAGTATTTTTAGATTCCAAGTATTGGATAGCATCTTTTAATGGTTTAAGAACAAATGATAAAGATCTAACTTGATTAAAAAAACTAAACTCATTGATAGTATTTTTAACTGAAGAAGAAATATTATTATTTTCACTTGCTAACTAAATATGAATAATATATAATATATTAGAATAAGAAGAAAATATTGTATCATATGAATGATGTAAAATAACATAATTTACCTCCAGGAGAATATTACCAAGTCTTGCAACTGAATCTATACAATCCCAAATTGTGCTCCATCTTGTCTTTGTTGATGTCTTTAATCCACCCCCAACAACATTATATCTTTTAATTTTTTCTTCTAGTAAACTTGTTGATAATGGAGATTTGCCAAAATATGTAACAATTGACTGACATTTGGAAATCAAATCTTTTGCAAATGAATGTTTACACAAATCTTTAGTCATTAAATTCAGATGGTGAGCAATGCACTGAATACTAAAAATGTGCTTGTATTGATTATGGATGATTTTTCTAGCCTTTGTTACATCTGAACCACCATTGGTGACAATTGCCGAGAACTTCTCAGGACCAAATTTTGTCAAGATTAATCTAATTTCTTCAGCCAAAAGTTCACCAGTATGTCGCTCTTTTGAAAGATTTTTAATATCAACAATATATTCTTTTCTATCAGGTGTAATAACTACAAAATTGTAAATTCCTTAATTTCTTTTATTAGTCCAACCATCAAGTCCAAGCGTCAAATCTTTTGAGTTACGAAGTTCATTTTCTACAGCTACAACAATTGTTGCCAATTCAGAATTCAACATTTGTTTAGACAAAGTCTTTCTTGTAGGAGGGTCATAAGATGCATGTAATTGTTTCGTAAGCTCAATAAAAAATGGGCTCTCCACAATAGAAAATGGTACCCCACAACAGATAAAAAATCTAAGTAATGCAGCATCAATTTTCTTTTTTCTTTCTGGAATTAGCACAGAAGAATCATGATATTGTGTTAATTTACGTTGATTTGACTCTATTTTTCTTTTCTTATCACTTGAATCACAATCTTTGTTTGATATAACTCTTAAATAATGTTCTTTTAGTGAAGAAGGAACTTGAATACATCTAGTTGCTAAATGAGACTCTAATTCATTTGGAGTACCTCTTGGATAATATTTATTACAAAATAAACATGTAGCTGTATGCTTTCCTTTACTTTTTCCTTCGCCTTTTGTAAAGTGATTCCATACAGAAGATCCAGGCCTTCCAATGGATTTATTATCACTAATATTTAGATTATTGTTGATGTTATTATACATACTACTGCTAATACTACTGCTACTATAGTTGCTATTAACATCACTATTATCTACATCATTGACAACAATACTATTATTATCAATCAAGTTCCTATTCATTATCAATTACGTTTTTTTATAATAATATTAACCCAGTTACTACTATTACTACTGCTTCCACTATCACTGCTATTAATATTTGTATAACTATAATTATTGCTATTGCTATTACTATTAATATTAATTTATAATTGCTACTGCTATTATTATACTGCTATTATTATTAAACAATTTATTAAACAATTATTATTTTGTAATTGCTACTACTTATTATTATTTTTGTAATTACTACTGCTTATTATTATTAAATGATTATTATTTTTATAATTACTACTGCTTATTATTATTAAACAATTATTATTTTTATAATTACTACTGCTTATTATTATTATTAGACAATTATAATTTTTACTACTGCTTGCTTATTATAATTACTACTGCTTATTATAATTACTACTGCTTATTATAATTACTACTGCTTATTATTATTAAACAATTATTATTTTTACTACTGCTTATTATTTTTACTACTGCTTATTATAATTACTACTGCTTATTATAATTACTACTGCTTATTATTATTAAAACAATTATTATTTTTATAATTACTACTGCTTATTATTAAACAATTATTATTTTTACTACTGCTTATTATTATTAAACAATTGTTTATAATTTTATTAATGCTTATTTTATCAAAAAATTATTATTTTATTGTTATTAGAATTAATAGTAGATTGTACTCGCTTATTCTAGTGTGTGAATAGGTAGGATGTTAATAGATACAGTTACTTGTGTCGTGGTGAGTTATAATTTACATTTTTTTTTTTCATGGGAAAATTTATGGGAAAAAAATCAAAAACGATCAATATCTAAATTATTTAAACATGTCAAAATGATTAGACATTTAGACATGTCAGAATAATTTAGACATGTCAAAACAATTGGACATTTAGACACATCTGAATAATTTAGACATGTCAAAACAATTAGACATTTAGACGTATCAGAATAATTTAGACATGTCAAAACAATTAGACATTTAGACGTATCAGAATAATTTGGACATGTCAAAACGATTAGACATTTAGACATATCAGAATAATTTGGACATGTCAAAACGATTAGACAATTAGACATATCAGAATAATTTGGACATGTCAAAACAATTAGACATTTAGACATATCAGAATAATTTGGACATTTAGACATTTAGACATGTCAGAATAATTTAGACATGTCAAAACAATTAGACATTTAGACATGTCAAAAATTTAGACACCATGTAGCATGTTTGTCAAAATTAGTCTAAATAATTTGGATTTTGACTTTGTCTAAATAATTTAGTTTTGACGCCCATCTATAGTCTGCAATCAATTTGGCATCATCAGCAGTTAAATATTCAATAGCCAAATCAAGAAAAATAATTGATATTGATAATCATTTCTTAAGTTCTGGTGGTTTCAACAAATTTATTCAGTGACAAGAAGATTTAGCTCACAAAGCTATACCACTTTCAAATGGCTTATTATTTTTGGCATTTGACAATGAACAAAAGGGACAAAAAACTACTTAGACCATGGAATAATACAGTAATTTTCCATACTGTTACAAGTTTTATTTCATTTAATTTTGATCCCACTAATAATATACAGGTTATTGAGGATCCTTGGTTACATCAAAAATTAAATTCATTACAGATTCAAGAACTTTTTGAAATTACACCAGATATGCAAGCATTGCTTGATAAAGAACTTCAAGATTATCTATCTGTTATCTTAACTGATGCATGTGAAGAAAAAAATAGTGAACTAAATCTTATTGATAATCTTATTTTAAATAATTCTACTATAGGAAAACAAAAAAGGTGTATTAAATGTGGTGTAAAGGAAATTGAAAATTTGAAGTGTAAATGTCCTCAATGCAATCAAAAACTTTCTACACTCACTGAAACCCAACAAGAAATGCAAAGAGACAATCAATCAATCTTGGAGACAAATATTACCAAACCTTTAAAATTCAAACACTATCAAAATAACACCAATTCCTTTAATAATCCAATAAATCCAATCAGCATAACTCAAAAAGCATTACCTCAGGATGGTGTCAAGGTGCCTGATATTTCTGTTCCAGACCCTTTACCATTAAATCCCAATTCAATTGATAATGTTCGTAAAGTTTTAGATCACATCCAAGAAATTAGTGGTATCAACAAAGGTGAAAGAAAATGGATTGCAGTGGCTTGTGATGGTGTTCCATTCAATTATGCACAAAAATTAAGAATGATTATCCAAGAATTCTCTTTATACCTGGACCACTTCATGAAGAAATGAATATGTTAAAATCTTTCGTGGAATTAAATTGGTAAATTTCATAACTATTGTAAGAGTTACTTATTTTGTTCAGTGTATAACTGTATAATATTTAATTCTGTCTTCTTGATTTTAGGAACATTGATATAAAATACTTTGCTTGGTGCCAAGGATATCGTAATGATAAGCAACTAACTTATTTTAAAAGATGTGGTGATTATCACAAAAGTTGGGATTCTATTTGTAACATATATAGGCATGCAATGGCAATGGAGTTAGTATGGCCTTATATTACAACGACTTCTGATCCTTGTGTTGATGGGTATCTTGATTGGGCTAAGAATCAAAAAGATGAATTATATAAGTTAAAATATCAGCAGGTAAATCATTGATATTAATAAAAAATGTGATAAAATAAGTACTAATAATTAATTATTAATCTTCAAGATCTTTTGGTATCTGCAAGCCATAATCAATTATCGTACTGCTATAAGGAATAACCAACCTTTACTTAAAGCAGCATCACGAAGAATCTTTGCTCCAATTTGGTCAGCAAGACGACATCCTATATATAGATCAATTGAGGTTGCAGATGAAGAACAATTAATGTGTCTTCATCCTGAAGTTCAACAGCTTATTGAGCAAAATTCTGTTGTATCTCGATCTGGTTGGTCAAATCAGCATCAAGGGTTAGATGCTATACTTGAAGAGATAAATAAAGCACTAAAGGCACTTGTTCCACCTGTACCCACACAAAAGCATTGGGAGATTGCTGATAGAAACTGTATGAAATTTATGAAGGTAAGTATTATTAGTACATTTTATTATTTATTTGTATTATAATATTGGTTTTCTTTTAAAACCATTTTCTTTGGCTTGTAACTTTGAAAAAGGTTATTTACTACAATTGGGTACACAGATCAAGAAATCCAGGCCCTCAATCACGTCCAAATTTTGAGAAAGAATTTCAATGCTTTAGAGCAGAATTAAGAAATACTGGTTTCTTGGACCCATTAAAACTTGATTGTGCCTTTGAAAATTTGGATAAAAGTAACAAATTAAGTGAAGCAATGAAATCATTTAGCTTAACAGCCAAAGCTCTTCGAATAGATTTCATTAAAGAAAAACTGGGTTCAAAAAAATCATCAAGAATTACTCGTATAATCCCTGTTACTGTTGAAGAGCAAGAAAATCAATTATCAGAAAATTCAATGACAAACAAAGAATTAATACTAGTAATTAATTCATTGATTGGATCCTTGGATGAAGCTAATCAGCCACAATTTAAAGGACTAGGAGCAAAAAAGAAAAAAGATCTACTATTAATTCTGCAACAAGTCAAAGATCTCAACAATGGCACTAATGGTGGTGAAATAGAAGAGACAATTTAAAAGGAATTATATCATCTGCAAAACCAAAATGAATTTAAGATAAGTGAAAAAAAATATTATTATTATTGTTATTGCTTTATTCCATTAATTATTATTTTATTATATAGTTTGACTCACGTTAAAATAAACAGATCAACACTAATGAACATATAATCCACCTGATGTCATTGCAATATGATAGATGATTATTATTATGATGTAAAGGTTATGCATAAAATATTTACTTATTAATTTGTCATTTTATTTTTTTGAACAATTGTTAAAATTTATTTTAAGCATTAATAATTTTTGCTTTATTTATTTATTTCTTATTTATTTTATAATGTATAAATTTTTAATTATTTATATTTAATCAATAATATTTATTTACATAAAAAAATTTTTAATGAAACCAAAAAAATTTACCAATAACTAAATGGATTTTTCTTTAGTTCAAAAAAATATAAAAGCAACATACCAAGTATCCAAAATTAAACTGCTCAAAAAAAAATTGATATAAAATTTTATCATCCAAATAAAAAAAAATAAAAATTATATATACTATATATATATATATATATATATATATATTAATATACTGAGGGAAAAAAATTTTTTTTAAGGGGGTAAGAATGTTGCACGCAATTTTAGAATTTTCAATTGTATTCCAGAATGTTGATCATTACAGTATTTAGAAATTCCAAATTTGGAAAAAATACTGACTGCAATAACTGGTGTGATCTTGAGTCAAAAGGCGGCGCAATTTGCTCAAAGGCTTAATATTTCCGATTTCAAATCATCACATGTAAGTATCAATTTCTTTTTGTTTTAAATTGTGTATTAATTCATTAAATATCTATTATTGATTTTAAATAGGGGTGGATTGTAAATTTTAAAAAAAGAAACAATATTAAAGAACATTATAAATTAGGAGAAGCAGCAAGTGCACCAATTAATGAATTACCTGCACTTAGAACTGAACTACAATCTATAATTGCACAATATGAATTGGCAGATGTATATAATGCAGATGAAACTGGTCTTTATTGGAAATTAGAACCTAATACATCTCTTGCCAGTGGACCTATTACTGGATTAAAGAAACCAAAAGATAGAATCACTATAATGCTTGCATGTAATGTAATCGGAACTCATAAATTACCTCCAGTGTTTATCTATAAATATAAAAATCCACGATGTATTCATAATATTGATAAAAAATCACTCCCCATGTGGTATTATTGGAATAATTCATCATGGATGCAATGTTCTATTTTCCAAGGATGGATTAGACAATTTAATCAAGAAATGCAAAAAAGAAGAAGAAACGTTTTATTATTAGTAGATAATGCTTCATCACAACAATTGGAAGAAGGTGAAGAATTGAGCAATATTAAATTGCATTTTCTTCCACCAAATACAACTTCTCATCTTCAGCCAATTGATCAGGGTATAATACGATCATTTAAGGTAATTATACATTTTTTTTTAATGATAAATATTAGAAAATTATTATGCCAAGACAGGATTCAAGCATATGATGAAAACCAAGAACTTGGTGTTGATATTCCTAGGTTAAATATTTTGAATGCGATTAATTGGACTGCACAAGCTTGGGATAATGTAACTGATGATACAATATACCGTTGTTGGCAAAGAACAGATATTCTACCTAATGATGAAGAAGATGAGGAAATGGTTGAAGGAGATAAGGAAATGAGACCAAATGAATTAGAATATTTATTAGAAGATGAAGAAGATGCAGTCCAATTACTTATTGATCAAATGAATGTTGTTATCTTTATTTGAGACAAAAGGTTAGAAATTAATTGTATTTTATTTGTTTCAAATTAGATCTAATAATCTTCATGGATTTAAAATTGTTATCTTTATTAGAGACAAAAGGTTAGAAATTGATTGTATTTTATTTTATTTCAAATTAGATTTAATAATTTTCATGAATTTAAAATTGTTATCTTTATTTGAAACAAAGGATAGATTGATGTATTTTATTTTCATGGATTTAAAATTGTTATCTTTATTCGAGACAAAGGATAGAAATTGATTGTATTTTATTTCAGATAGATCTTTATTTGAACAAAAGGTCAATTGATCATATTTTATTTTAGATTAGATCCAATAATTTCACAGATTTAACAAATTAATGAGACAAGATAAAAATTATTATTATTGTTAATTAATAAAATAGTCTTTTTGGAAATGTAGATAGATTTGGCTAATAATTCGCAATTGTTTCTAATCAAATTGTAAATAAAGCCACATATATATTCTATGGTTAAAAAATAAATTTTATTTTTTCGTCCCGTGTAACAAAAACTAACAACCAATCAAAATTCGAAAATTTAGTCATGTGCGTAATATATCACGTGAAACCGACTTATCACGACTAATTTAATTATACTCAGACTAAGTGACTGACCGACTTAGCTCTTATCGCAACTTTATATAGATTGACTGACTTATCGAATTTTTTTAAATAGTAAAAAAAAGGGGCAGAAAATTTTGGCCG